ACTATGGCTCATTTGATTCTCCATTATTGGGGTAATGTACCCAATCCCACGGTGAGCTTGCTGCAGCTCAGCCTCCGAGCTCCATACTCCACAAGCCATTCCGGCATCAACCTCGAAGCATGCGCGTAGACCTTGGGAAGCCATCAACTGGGTTGCTGTTGAGGAACTTAAATTAAGTTACCATAATGGGTGTGTATATATATATGGTCATTAATAGGGTTTCGCCAACATAGTAACTTAAACCTTGGGAAACCAACAAATGGTAAAGCTCAACTTGCCGGCCCCTCCCAGAAAAGGAGCCGACTTGCTAATACAGTGTGCGGATTTCTCAGCACCGTGCCTTTTATCACGTGCCTGTCGTAGAGATATGCAGGGATAATGGGCATCGGGACATTTTCAGCGAGTTGAAGCAGCAAGAGCCAAGGCAAAACATCATCAGAGATAGAAGCGGCTGTCTGACACAGCTTGATCCAGCTGCCACACTCACTGGGCCAGATCGCAAAGCACAGCTGTCTTATCATGAGGGGAATCCCTATCCTGCACTGCCAACATAGTTTGCACCTGTTTGAACTTGATCATGAACACTGAGAGGCAAGCGCGGAAAACCACGCGACATTCTCCCGGATTCTGCCGGCACGGCACGACTTGCCAAAAGCCTGATGCCTGGATGTGCAAAGAGCCCTTTCTGTAAGATTCAGGAATGAACCTTCGGTTCTACTGTGACCGAAGGAGAGCCGATTGATTGATGGGGTTTAGGGCTTAGAAGGTTTAGGGTAACCTCTTAGGTAGTTCCCAAAATGATGGGCTCCTTTTGGAAATAGATTACATTGCCGCACCTAATATTCAGGGGTACCAACATGGGAGTTTTGAGCACCACCAAAGGGGGGTCTGTTCTCTGGATTACCATGCACTCTCATTGTTGTGTGATGCTTTGTGTTGCTGGAAGAAGCAAGAACGAGGGGTCGGGTTCAACTCGAGCTTATGTGGTCCTCTTGAGAAGGGAACCTTCCTGAACTTAGGGATTGTCCGTTTTTTAAACATGCCTTCAATAACTTGTTACAGATTATGTTGTTTTGAGAGCTTATGACGCAATGAGGAACCCTGTTTACACTGTTTTCAGAATATCCAAACGGCCATTCCCCTGGCTTGACCCATGTATATTCTTGGGCCCTCTGAACTTGGCTTACAACTGTTGCAATTGTGGTGTTATTTGGAACCCTTTTTCAAAAGAGGAGGCCCTTAACAATGCTTGGGATACAGGGTGGCGGCTTCGTCCTAACATCAACTAATACAGAGACTAGAGATAAATGAGGTCATTTTGGGTGTGCAGAAGAATATACATATATATATACATGTATATCGCATATTTACGTAACGTAATACAGGTTTAGGGATATTACCCCCCAATAATGGAAAATCAGATGGGCAAGGAAATCGACACATGAAATGGAAACTGGGTCTGCAAAGGGCTGTGCGGGAACAGTTGGCAGTATGATGGTCCTAGATACAATATATCGTGAGGTGCCGTTAATGGACCTCCAATCGATATGGGCAATAAACTGTCCCAAGGCCATAAGGTCCATGCCTCAATAGCTGGGTACTTGCAATTTTGGCACTAGCAGTTGTGGCACAGATTTGGGGGCCTTGACTTGATCATGGGGGTTCTTGGACCCGTAGGGCTACGCTACGCTAGCGTTGCAGGCCCTGCAGGCCTCTCGAAGGACAAGACCGGTGGCATCAGGATCCACGTCGAAACTGATGCGGCCACAGCTTTCATCAACATGATGAACCTGAGTGGCGCCAAGTCATGCAAGCTGAGTTCATGGTCCGCCCAGGAATAAATACAAAGGGTCACGTGGTGCCCTCATCTATGCCTCAATAGCACCTCATCACAACAATGTTTTTAAGACAAAGTGCCATAACCCGAGAATCTCTGTTGCCTCAGGAATTTGCCAGGAAATATCTGACTAATGAGGCCTCCGCTTACAAGTCATTATTGAAGACACGCGATGAGGTCAAGCAGCAAAACCAATATGAATTTCTGACCAGAGATCTTTGGTGGTGATAGATGTGGAGAGTCCCACTCTGTGCTTTGCTGAACAACCACAGTGTCAGACTCCAATAGTGTAGATGGTCGACATAACCCTGGGTTCCGTGATCCCTGGCCCAGATAAAACGAGTGTTGAAACCAGAAAAGGATTTAATGGATCCCAAACTGTTCAAGACCTAAGGTTACCACCCAAATACGATGCGACACTGCCTGCTTTTAGCCCCACGCGGAGCTTGAACACTATTGATGCAGGGCGATTTAGGGTTTAGGGGTTTAAGTTTTCCGAAACAAGCCCACACCCTACCACAAGTCCTGCAGCAGGATACATAACGTTGAAGAGGAGCACGTATAATGCCCCCAACCCAATGTAGAGACATGATGGGTTGTATAGGGGCTATCTAGGGATGATGTAAAAGACAATGGAAAGTGCTATATAGTATTATATATATATGCACATATATATATATGTATATATTTATTTGTATTCCTCCCTCTATAACCCAGCTTCCATTTCATTTTTCATTGTCCCATTTGATTCTCCATTACTGGGCCGCAAACACACAGCCCCCTTACTTGTCCAGTACCCAGAAACCAAAAAGTTTAAACTTTTCTTCTAGAAGGGGTTTAATAGACCCAACAAGTTCAAAGTTGGGCTACTGTACTACCGAGGCCCTCTGTAACCGCTATGATACTCCCCAAAACCATCCCCTCTAAGGAGTTTAGACTATAGCTCATATCCTTAGAGGCGTTGACAGGCATCTTACACAGCATGCCTCACACTGGGATGCCACGCTGTCGGAATTTCAAACCAGAATCTCCTTGGCAAATCGGCGTGGGCGGGGCATTTAAGTACGCGGCACTTAGGACCCCTAGTGGGGGCTAAACCTTACGTACCTATAAGAGGAGTATAAGGGAATTTTTCAGGGGTTAAGGGTCTAAGGTCCAAGCTAAGTCCCCTGGAGAGTAGAATTTAATGGGAGGCTGGGATGCTGGCTTTTAGGCTTCCCATTCTTCCCAGTCTACCTAATATGCCGGGGCCTACAAGGGAGGAGTCGCATCAGAAACGGAACCCTAAACCTGGGAATGGCAAACAAAGCCCATCCACAAGCATGAGGACTTCCAACCGGAGAGTACCATGGGTGGGGGGGGGGGGCGGCGGAAGCCCATTTCGGGCTTTAAATGGCATTCAACTACAGGTGCGTGGATGCTCCAAGAGAAAAAAACCTTTATCGAGCAACTTCTGATAGCCTGGGCTTATCTAAACCCAAATATTGCAATGCGGCGCAGGCGCGAAATCCTGTAGGTGCACTTTGCCACCAGCGCAGCGTCCCCCGCAGGCGATGTAGAGTTGACTTCCGCTGCACGGATAGCCGACATCATGGAGGGGTACTGCCTCAAAGGTGAAACGCAAGGCGGCAAGTAGATTAATCTTTCTGATAGAAGCACGCAAAACATCTCTACTGTCACCATACACTACCATTTTGTGAAGAATCCTCTTGGGGCGGCGACTGCATTGTCCCAGTTACGGTCCGACATGGCTGAAGTGTTTTGTCATGACTCCTACGACGAAGTTGCCAGGGAAGATTTGGTTCAGGGAGAAGCCTTTCAGCAGCAAGAGAGGTAAGCCCGCAGCTGAAAATTGCTCAAGCAGCGGAGTACCACATGATCCGGAGCTCGGACATTGATCCGCACCAGACCCCAACCTCCAGGGACTTAGGGTCTAGGGTTTAGGGGTGTGGTCCGAGCCTAGGGGTCTGGCAGTACATCCGGCAGGAACCGCCCGCTACTGGTGGATACTGGAAATTGTTTTCAGGTTCCTAGATTTTCCTTTTGCACAACTATTTGTGGGTGGGAGCCTAGCCCAAGACATGAACTCTAACTGGGCCTGCATCCAGTGTCATGTTGAGGTCGAATGAACCTTTTTGAGGCAACCTATACCATAGTCAGACTGAAGGAATCTAAAACCACAACATTGGTAATGATTTGGTAGTTTCCACAGAAAGAAGGGGACCTCAATATGGTCCCGAAAAAACCACCATCCTCTTTATATGGGCCCCCGAGTAGTACCCCTACGTCTGGGAAACCTCGAAACCCGATGAAATCCCTATATAGCCCTCTAAATGGATCCCTAATTTTGAGAAACGCAGATTTAGGCCCTAAACCCCTACACAGCAGTTTCCATTTTCTTTTCCATCATCCCAATATACCCCCAGTACTCATAATTTGGAAAACCCAGATTTAGGTTTCTACACCATGGACATTGCATCCCTATAAAACCCCTATAAACCAAAGGGACCCATTTTGGGACCCCACCATTTGAGCCATAGTCTAAACTCCTAGTATCCCCCCTTAATACCCCCTATAGTATTCCCCTATATAATCCCCTATATACCCCCCTTTAAGGAGTTTAGACTATAGCTCATATAGGCTTCTACACCATGGAAATTGCATGACGGGCTAGCCTCGATTGCCACACTGCCTTGGCTTTTAAGGGGTGGACGTTCATTTAGCTTACCGTTTTACCAGGAATCCGGGGTACCCCATTTCACAAAGGTAATGGGGAGGGGGATGGACGTTATGGACGTTTAGGGTTTAGGTCTTAGGGCTTAGGGCTTCGGGTTTGGGCTTAAGGTTTAGGGCTTAGGGTTTAAGGCTTATAAGGCTCATAGGGTGTAGGGGTTAGGGCCTACGGTTTGGGGGGATGCGGAGGAAATGCAATCCCTTCCCAGGTATGAAAGAATAGGTGGTAATAACAACATTGAGACAAACCTTAGTACCAATAATTGAATATGTAATTAACGTAGACCATTCCGCTCTAAGACATCTTCCATGTTGTTCCCCACGTATCAGTACAAATTGGAGGATGTTTTGTCACTGGGGGCAGGTTGGGCGATGCTTAGAACTAAGGTTCCGACTTAAGCAGCTTTCATTTATTCGCGTGGGAGGCCGTTGATCAACCGCGAAAAAAATGTGCACTTGAAGCCTTCGCAATGCATCCAGCTTGCAAGGTCTCACGTGTCGACATGCACCACCCAAGTTCGCATGCCAGTTTCCAATAAAATGAAGAAGGAAACCAGAAGTCTTACTCACCAAACAATCTGAAAAGGATCACACCCCCCCGCCCCAAAAAGGATCGCCCCCTACATCTCAACTTAAATCGCGTCCAAACTACGCCTGCTTTTGGACGCGGCCAGCATCCCGGAGTACGGCATGCTCCTCGGCTGTGAGGTCCCACAGCTGCCTGGCAGATTGTGTCGGTTTGGCCGGGGGTTAGAGAGGGAATTATGTCTGGTGATTACTGACCGGGATTGGGTATACTCAAGGCTTAGGTCTGCATGACGGGAGGTCAGGGGCCAACAGCCTGGCAAACCAAGGCGAACCACTCTCAGTGGACAGAAATAAAAATTCCACAAACTAGTGTATTATGGGCACTTGAGTTCAGGGGCTACAAAGATTTAGAGAGTGGGCGCGCAGCTTGCACAAGAAATTGTGTGTGCCCACATGTGCCCACAATGCACAAAAACCAGGGCCTAAAAATGTTCGGGATTTCTTGGCGCGGGGTCCGAATGCACCATGTATAAAACTACAATCTCGGACCGCAAGAAACCCCCCAGCACAAAAAATGCAACTTTGCAAGGCAAGATTAAATTCTCTTAGGTTCTGTCAGGTGTGTGTGTGTGTGTGTGTGTGGGTGTGTGTGTTGTACGCCTTTGAACCACAATGCGGGGTCGCAATACAGGGTGTGCCTCAGTTGAGTAGGCCTGTCCGGGTGCCGCGACGGAGTGGCGCGGTGATATAGAGTTTAGGGTTTAGGGTTGAGGCATTTAGATGTAAGTTTAGTCACCCTTAAGTGGATAGAACATGGCTTCGGGTATATTACTATAATAAGATCACCATATACCCCATATTCTATCTACTTGAGGGGGACTCTAGGTAGAAGTAAGTCGGGGTATCGGCCTGCATGGAAGTACCGATAGCCCAACTTTAGCTACCCGGTTTGACCTCCAAATACCCATGACCAGCGAAAACTGGTCTTCCAACACAAAGGAACCCAAAACTCGACATGGCACAATCCTTTGTATGAGGACCCCCCCCCCAAAAAAAAGAAGACAACTGTTGGGAACTCGAAGCGCTAAGCGCCAGCCTCGGGAAGTTCTTAGCTTCCAGCCAGGCATCGCCCCTGCAGTTCAGGGGTTTAGGGTGGCTGCTTGCAGGTGTAGATTTATAGAAAAGGAAATCAGATGAAAAATGACATGGAGCCTGGAATTATATAGGGGTTATATGAGGTGGGGTCATCCCCGTGCCACTCAATCACTACAGTAAACCAAGTTTCCATTTCCTATTCCATTTCATTCTCCTGTATCCTTGGTTGGCCCATGAGTGCGCTAATTTAGCTCATGGGTATGGCCGGCTTACCATCAACAGCTCCCTGAGCACAAATAAGCCAGGAGATTGAGCCCTCGTGTCGAAAAGATCGGAGTGTTTTGGGATTCTGGGACCCTAAACCCTAAACCCTAAACAATGGCCATCAGCCCATGGATTCTGCAGACCCCCAAAAAATGTGTTGCAGGAACGTGACATGGAGACCGCGATTCTTGTGCCTGACGTTGTACATTCCCAGGTGCATTCTCACAGAGCACACTTCCTAACAGCTCGCACTGCCTGAAAGCTCATTCTGACTATAGCCAAAAAAGCAAAAACTCAGCTCTACAACCCCACCGGGACAACATACATCATGCTGGAGGCGTCATGCTAGGTACTTCTTCTACGAACTGAAGTGCTAACAATGAGATTACTGAGTTCTAGGAGACTATAGGACATTACCTGGCTATAGCTTTAGCTTACTCTGCCTACAAGCCCCAAACCCTAGAAACCACTGTGTAAAGCCAGTTTCCATTTGAGCTTCCATGTTCTTTTCCACTTGATTCTTCAGTATTGCGTTATAAGTTGGGCCTTCCCTAAACCCTAACCCCTCATAACTTGGGCTTTCCCTTACATAGGCCTCATGTTCTGGGCACAAGCCCGACGACTTCGTCGTGCTCGCCGAACTGCAAGCGGAGAGGACAGGGCCATGGCCTTGTTTGAGCATAGTATTATATTGTAAAATGCGTCATGTAGTATTTTAACTATAGTTCTAGAGGAATGTAATGCGCATAGTTGGTGCTAAAGGAGTGAGCTCACGAGCGAAAGTCTGTAGGCACTCATGCGCTCTTCACATGCATGGGTGTGACAGAAGTCCTCGTAGTCAGTGTCTTTACGTTTTAGACGACTGTGTGTTGTGTATCGGCGCCAGGGCTAGAACTTTGACACATACTAACCTGCCGCCAGTTCATGCGAATATCCAAGACACTAAGCCCGAAATCCTAAGTTCTAAGCCCTAAACTCTCCAGTCTAAATCCTAATCCCTAGAACCTAATCCCTAGACCCTAACCCCCTTTTGCGTAATCTCTTCACTGCACCCCAGATGCCGCAGCCCACGCCGTGCGGCCGACAGTCAAACCTCAGAGGTGCCGAAAATACTTGGAGGGTCGCGGGGGGCTAAGTAAGTAGGTTAATGGAAGCTACTGTATTTTGTAGGGTGTAAAGTTTAGGGTCGGGGGGGGGGCCTTAGTAAGTCGGTTCATGGAAAAAGTAATGGAAGCTACCATAGTATTTAGGCAAACACTTGCAATGACTGTGTCCGACGATCCGTGTGACACACGCCACAAACTTCTTGTGAATTGTGGAAAAAGCAATAAACTACCATAGTATTTAGGGTTTAGGGCTTAGGCACGGGGGGGGGCTTTGGATCTAGGAGCTAGGATAAAAATCCCTATAAGCCATGCAAGTTGTTGACCTACTGACTTAGTCCCCCTGACTCTCCAACTCTCCAAGTACCCCGCAACAAGGATCCATGCGTTTGCCGAACATTGTCGTCATAAGTATCGGCCAGGAAATCGGTACCGCCAGGTTCCTGGACTTCAAGCACCCCCTTGACCTGCAAACAAAAGACCACACAATTGCTCGGACTGCTGCATCTCAAAACGTAGAAGAGACACATTGGGGTGAGAATTGGGGTAAGGGTTTTAGAGTTTACGGTTTAGGGCATCAGGAGGCGTCTAGAAAATGCTGGTGCTTGTTGCATGGACATTGACCTGCGCTTCACGTACTTGCATCACGGCCTTTCCTTCTTGAGTTCTCCTATTCAGGGCCACTGGTCCCCTGCAAAATGCGGCCTGGCTGCTGGATGAATGGGCAGGAGTATGTACAAGTTGTGCAGATGGGACAGCACGTGGGCCAACACAATCGCCTGCTCCTCCGAGGGTCATTGCTGCCCAAGGAAAACAGCAAGCAGGACCCACATCAGACCAGCGTCTTGACTCATCCACGAGCTTTGACCA